TTAATAGATTTACTTGATAAGGTATTGGATAGAATACATATGATGGTTGTATATCAATTTCATGGCATTTATCTTTTTGATGAATATATAATTGATGATGATCACAAACATCTTTTAATGCATCAGTTAAAGCTGATGGTCCAAGACAATTCCAACATAATGCATGAAATTGATTTGAAATTGTTTGTAATTGTATATCCATTTGTAAATCAAGTACTAAATGTTGTTTTACAAAAACTAAAACAGCAACATTAACACCAACAGATGTTTCAAGTGCGACTGTATTTGAAAATTCATGAAATTTTTTTAAGGGTATTACATCAAGATCAAAATAAATTCCACCATATTTATATAAAAGTGCTGTACGAATAAAATCACTCATATGTGATATAGAAAAATAATGTATATATTGTTTACGTTTTGTTTGATTTAAACGACTTAATGATGTACCAGAATAAATATCTTCTTCATTAAAATGAACAATATATAGATTTTCATAGGATTCTAAATGTTTATATGATGTTGATTTTCTAAGAATATATTTACTACGCATAAGAACAAATATTAAACCATCGGAATGAAGACGAGCAGCTGATTCAATTGAACAAGCATGACGTGAAAGAATATCTTCATTCTCAGATGTTTGAACAAAAAAAATTTTTAATTTGGCATTTATTAGATCTGATTCTTTTTCAGTTATATTTTGTAAAAGGATATAATTTGTTGAATCTTTGTCTAAATGTTGTACTGAAATATCATTAAAATTAACAGTAAAAATATTGAGTACACCATATAAACTAGCTTTAGATAGTTGAGTGACAGATAAATAAACAATGGTAAATATAACTATTAGAAAATTGAGATGATTTACATGTTTGATATAGATAATTTTCAACTTACTCATGTAGAGAAAAGACCATTTGAAACAATTGCTGGTTCTAGATAAAGAAGCAAAAAATTAATTAATAAAATTGTAGACTGTTCTGTCTGAATTCCACTGGCCATCTAACGGAAAGATATTTTAATGAATTGTGTATAAACAACATGGATTTGATAAAACAAAGAGCGATATAAAAATCTCAATCTGTAATCGTTGGTACATCAGAATAATCATCAAGAACTTGAAAAGAATAATCGTATATGGACTTATTTAACACTTAAAAACTTAACAATTCAATTGAATTATTAATTAATGCGGATATGTTTATAATTCATTTATATGTAGGATAAAAATCGGTATGACCTTTTAAGAACTAATCTGCCGATTTTCTATCAAAATTTATTGACAGTGATAAAATAGTTTACAACTGCCATCTTAATGTGCATATAACAGCATGAAAGTATATCAAACACATCTCTTCATTTGGTATCCTAATTATATATCCTCACTGTCACATATCCACATACAAAACTTCATTACTTTCTCTTCAAAACAAACTCTGATATCATTATCATCATCTCACATAAATACACACTTTTCTACAGTTTTTCAAATATACAGCACTGCAATCTAGTAGATATTCATCAACTTAATTTCAACTAGAATCGATCATATTATCTATCTCTTACATCTTTTCTGATACATACATATATATAAATACTAGATTCATCTACTAATAACATCAAGTTCAAGGAGTCTAGTACTGATTTTTATCTCATATGTAATTTAAAATGGATATTTTTATAATATTTGATTGATAGAATAGTTCTGTTTCTCATGAATGTGATATAAAATGTAAATGTGTTGATCAACTAAATGTTATAGTTGAAAGTAGCATGATTATTGTCCATAGGGCATAGTTATAGTTTGATTAATGGAATTTGTGAAAGGTAAGAATGTGACATTTCTAATATGATCATTAAATACATATTTATCAAAAAAAAATGAAGTGCGTTTCTCTCTTTTGAAATTCACAAAAACAAAAGAGATTTAATATCACTTAAACAGAAGATGCTACTTTATTCATAATTTCTTTCGGGCTCGGAAAAATAATAATTTTTTATAATAGACACATGACCTACTTAAATTTTAATAAATTCATAATTGATTAGAATTTGATTGTTTATATATCACAGAAATATTTTCATCATCTAAATCTAATTGAAAAAAAAACAAAAGATGAAATATCTAAACAAATAAATAAATAGAAAATATATTTTAATTTACAACTATGTTGTAGATTATTATATTCTTGTAATTTTGTTTAATGGTTTAATTATTCATCGATTATATAAATGAAATATCAAAGAAAAAAAAAGAAATGTTACGATGAATGTCTTTTATAAGATTAATATTTTATGTTTCCTACCTGCAAAAGAAATTTTAATTCTCTAGCGAGGATATGCAAGAAAATGACTAGATAGAAAATACAAAACTACTTCTTTTTTCCTGTTTCTGTGGCTTCGTTCTATTTTTCTTCTTCTTCTTTTTTTTTGTCTTGGTCGTCTTTTTTCTTTAGTTCTTCATCCACCGCTTTTGATATAATTCAGCTAATAATTATTCTACTTGACGTTACTTTGCCTAGGCACATACGTGTAAGAAACAAACATAAGCACATACAACAGAGGTGCCACATAGAAGTATTAGATAAAAATAGTAACGAATTATTGTCTCTATATAAACAATAGAACTATTCACAATATACAAATACAAATCAATTCAGCATTTAATAAATAATAAAAGAAAATCTTCTACAAATCTAGTCATTTC